AAAAGAAAAGAAAAAGGCTGATCCTTATCCAATATCTTTACTCTTTTAAGCCCCTCAACTTTCAAACTTTGGCTATTAAGCCCAAAACAATATTTCTTTCTCAAACAAGTCCCTAACTCACTTTAATGCTCTAGAAATTTTGGGGTATTACATTTTTATTATTAAATTTATGATTTATGAGACATGTAATATTTATAATATTACTTGTAGAAGGTTAAATATTAATATATCTATATACATATATCTATAAAATTTAAACATAATTGACAACCATTTTAAAATATAATCAATAGAATTTCTGTCGAATATATTTTATCTATATATGTTCATACAGAAACAAAATTAAGAAATATCTTCTCATCTTTTCCTACCTTTTCCCTCCTCCTTCCTTTCCCACATATGTTTCACCTTGTTTCCCTTCTCCTTTTGTTCTTATTTTCTTCTTCTTCTTCTTCTTCTTCTTCTCCCTTTCATGTTTTTTTCTTTCTTTCTTCTTTCTTCTTTCATCTTCCCCCTTTCCTTCTACCTTTCTAATTCTTGCATTGCATGTCTTCATCTTTCCTCTTGTTTCTACTTTTCTTTCATCATTCAATTCCTTCTACCATTCCTATTTTCATTTTTGGTTGTCATCCTTCTACTTTTCCTTCATTTTCTTTCATTCTTTCATCTCAAGGTTTTTATATTTATCATTTAATTATTTTTATTTGATCTACTAATAATTTTTTACTTTTATTTTTGCATATTATTAAGTTTAAAATTATTTTATGAGGTAAATTCACATTTTGATTTATATTTTCATTTCTTTTTATTTGAATAAAATCTTATAATATATAACAATACTTTTTATTTTTCTTTTTACAAAATTTTTTTAATTTCATTATAAGTAAATTACTTATCATTTATCTTGTTTTTCTATTAGTCCCACAATATTTGAATATTGTTCTTATTTTTCAATTATTCTCAAAATTATTTTATATATATTGTTGTTGCACTTAATTGTTTTTATCATTGAATTTTATTTAATGACTTTATAATTTAATTAATAATTGCAAAAATAAAATTAAAATTTTGCATTTTTTTTAATTCTAGTTTTTTTTTTATTGCTGGAGCAAATATAATCGACAGTAAAAGCTGTCGACAAAGATGTTGTCGATTATCGACAGAAAACATTTTTGTCGATTATACTTATTTTCGATTATTGTTTATTCGACAAGGTTAGTTGTCGATTATATCTGTCAATTGTAATTATAATCGATAGAATTTTTATTATAATCGATAGAATTTCCTTTAAAATCAACAAAAATTTCTATCGATTAAAGTTTATTTTCTAGTAATGACAACAAGTTGCTGATGTGGCACATCTGAAAAACCAATAGTTAGGCCCCAACTGAACATGTGGCAATTCCTCATTGGAATTTTTAATTTATAGAGTAAACAATTGTCATTGTAAATTTACAATTTTACGAGACAATATAAATATCATTTTTCACTACAAAATATATACACTTTCCATTGAAATTTAATAATTTTGCAAAATATACTACTTCCTTCATTTAATAATAGTAGTTATAGTTTGATCATTAATTTCTAAGGCAAAAAATTTAGGTGAAAATTTAAAATATCATATAAATAACAATTGAAATTTTTTCTATAAAGTGAAACTACTAAATAAAAACCATGTATAGGAAAAAGAAAAAAATTTCACTTGATAATTATTATTTATTAGTCAAACTTATAAAAACTTAGATAGAAAAATAATTTTAAACTATGTTATTTTAATTAATTAATTCTCATTGAAAAAAAATAAAACTGTCTAGTTTTTAAGACAAAAATGAGATTGTTTTCTTTTTTTACGGTGATGATTTATTGAAATGACATAATTTTAAATGTTTTTCTGTCTAATGTTTTGTAAGTTCAATTGATAAACAGTAATTTCTTTATTTCATATGTTAAATTTTTATCTAAATCTTTTATTTTGAAAGTTAGAGTTTTTTTTTTTCAATTTGTGTCTTAAGGCCTTAGTATATTAATTACACATTTTTACAATTAATTTCCATAAAAAAGAAGTTGACTTTAAATTTATCAATATATTATCCAATTAAAATGATCTACATGGTATCAAAGTTAAAAGAATATTTATTTTTGCATTTTCTCATAAAAAATTATTGTAAAAAAATATAATTAAGGTACCTTTACCCTAAGGCAAGATAGAAAATTCAAAAGTTAAAAAGTGAGATTAAAACTTTTTTTTTTATTAACTCTCGATATTCGGTAGTCACATTAGATCCCGATTAATCCGGAGTTAAGCTATGTCGAACTTCATAAGGGGAAAGTTCTCCTAACGCATATTTATCTATTTATAAGACTCAAATTTGATATTTTAATTAAAAAAATAAATATCTTTTCTCTTGGATTAACAAGTTTTTGGTGATTAAAACTTTTATTACTAATTAGAGGAAGTAACTTTTGCTGAGTTGTCAAACTTTGGCATCAATGGGATCCAACAGGTAATTTGTCATCAAACATAGGTTTAATTGTTGATGACCACTTAAGATTTTAAAACAATGAAAAATCAAGTGTGAAAAATATAAAAGAAAAGAGAGTCGCTATTCGTCCAAATTATAAGGTGGGACAAATGACCTAAAACGGATCTGCGCAGAGATTGGGGTTCGAAGGTTCGGTTAGGAGTGAGGAAGAGCATACGCGCACCTCACAATTTTTCGTTTAAACACGGTTGCATACTTTAACATTAAGGGTTTTAATTCAACTTATTCATTATCTTTATGTTTAAGTCTTAATAGGGAAACTTAAAACAAAAAGAACCAAATTGAAACATTTTTTAAATTTTGGATTAAAGTGGACAAAATAAAAAAATGTATGCTCAATAAGCACAAATAAAAAATAAATGCACTGATTTGATAAAAATAAAAATAGAGGACTGATTTGAAAATGTTTGAGACTTTTGGACTAAAGTGCTTAAACATGAAAGTTTTGTGTGAAATTGAAATAAAAGAGATAATTTTTTGATTTTTTTTTTTTAAAACAAGATTAAGGCAAATAAAAGATTAAAAAGTAATTAATTAAGATAATTAATTTAATTAAATGATTAATTTAATATCAATTAAAATTAATTAATTATATTTATTAGTCTTTAACTAAGATAATTAAATGAATCTAATTACCTCATATTAAAGTTAATAGACATGATTAATCTATTTTAATTAAAATTAATTAATTTTATTAATCATAAATTAAACTAATTAACATAATCAATTTATCATTTTATATATGAGGAATGCTAGCTGCACTCGCCTTTCTCCAGCACTCTCCGACACTCTCTCATGTAAAATGTCCACGTAACAAAATTTGGCTCGCAATTCAAAGTTTCCAACTAGAAAAGTTCACGTGGCTATTTTAGATGACGGAGTGTCGGAGAGTGCTGGAGAAAGGCGGGTGCAGCTAGCATTCCTCTTTATATATATATATATATATTTACCTTTTTCACCTTTTTTATTATTATTATTATTTTTAATGACAGACCTACTGGATCGGGTCGGATTGACCTGACCTAGAAACACGAACCAACTACCAAAATGAGCAAAAAGCCGATTAAAATCTAGACAAAATGAAATCTGTGTAGAAACAAAAAAGGACTTAAAGTTCATATTGATTTCATCTCATTTCCAGCAAAAATTGCATCTCATCAGGTAAAATAAACAGAACAATCTTTAATTTCTCATTCATTTCTCAGTAATCACATACAAGCTTGAACGTTGAATGAAAAATACAAAAAACAATCAGCAAACAAAGAACACACCGACGGCAGAATTTTCTGAGGAAAAAATAGATCCAGATCTGATGAGAGGAATCCCACCCACGGGACCAGGCTCCCGTCATCCCCTTCACCACCATTCCCAGAAAACTCCTCTGTTTAGAAATTTACCTGAGGTAGAAAGCAAACCCCAAAAAAAATGTCAATCACAGTCGCCTTCCAAAGAAAAATCCCCCTTCCTTGCCAGCCAACGACACCACACTCCGGCCAATAACCTCCCCTTTTCTCCTCTCAACTAAATCCCTCCTCTTCTCGGAATTTCCCTTTACTGCTCTCAAGGAAAACCCAAACAGAGACTTCCAAATCAACTCCGAAAATAAAAAACAGACCCCCGAAAATCAAACTCCAACTCCTAAATCAATCAAAAGACCCCCCTCAAAGACCTCTGCCTTTTGCTCTATATATACACCCAAAATGATAAAAATAACAATAAAAACTGAAATTAAAAAAAAAAGGGGTCTTGCTCTGTCAATCACCAATGATGCCAATCTTGTCTGGCATTGTTGTTTTTTTTTTCTGTATGCCTGTAGAGAGCAGGAGAGCAGAGGCGCGGGATTGGGGCACTCTGTAGGCTCGGTGCAGCAGAGGGCCGGGATTGGGGCGCAGAGTGTAGGAGGTGCAGGGGGCGCAGCCGGGCTAGTGCAGGAGCAAGGGCAGTGGCGTGGTGCAGCAGT